ACCATGCCCGGCTAATTTTTTCTATATATTTTTAGTTGTCCGATTAATTTCTTTCTATTTTTAGTAGAGACGGGGTCTTGCTCTTGCTCAGGCTGATTTTGAACTCCTGGGCTCAAACAATCCGCCCGCCTCGGCCTCCCAGAGAGTTAGGATTACAGGCATGGGCCACTGCTCCTGGCCTGGGTGTCCTGCCAATCATAACATAACCACTTGGGTCTACTTGCAGGGATTTTGTGAAAATTAGAGGTAATATTAATATATGTAAAGTAGTTATCACAAACTCTAGCACATAGCAGGAGATAAATAATAATAATAATGAGGAAAGTTAATCTCATTTGGGGCTTCTGTGAATAGATATTTCATATTGGCAGGCTCTTCTTCCATGTCATAGGTCATAGATAAGGAAGCACGACCATAGAGTCTACTAATGAATACTAACCAAGGAAGGAAATGTTTGATTTTATGTGCCTAAACGTTTGCATAAAGATTTTTTGTTGTTTAAAAAATTGGCACATTTTGTAAATCTTTGCAGTGTCAAAATTCTTTATATTAATAACTTCTTAGTTTTAACACTCACAAAAACATCAAAGTTATATTTACTTCTTTCAAATATAAGTTCAGTCCTAATTAGAAAACCATTTTCATTTTGTCAAGGTAAATTGCACCATCCACAGATGTTCCAGTTTCCTGTCTGCCCAGTCCCTTAACTTCATATTACCTAAACTTCTTTATAAGACTCTCCTGAAACTGCTGTGTTGGAGGTTATCAACCACTATTACAATAGTTTCCTTCCTGCTACTGTTCTACCTTTCATTTCATCCTTGTTATAAGAGCTGTCTAACCTTTCTAAAACACAAGTTTCATTCTGTCAATCCCTCAGTCAGAAACACCAAATGAAAACTAGTGGAATGAATGGTGGGAGGTAGGGTGAGGCCAGATTATGGTGGCCCTTGAAAGTTGAATTTCAAGTGGTAAGTTTTTGAGGAGAGGATTAACACACTAAAAGGCATAGTTTTACTTAGATCATGACAGTAACAATGGGCAGATGAATTGGAGATGGCCGAGATGAGTTAGGGCAATCAGCTGTTGTCAGGATCAACTATACTGTGCTGATAGAAAGGAAGTCTGTCCTATAGCGTCTGGGCCTGCCAAAGGAATACTACCTTGCTGAGAGGTTCACAGTTTTAATTAGTAGAATCCTGTAATTTGGTCAGAGCTTGTAGGGTTTAACATATGTACAAAATGAGGCAATTTAATTAAAGTGTAGCAATCTGGGCCAGCATAGTGGCTCACACCTCTAATCCTAGCATTTGGGAGCCCAAGGTGGGAGGATTGCTTGAGCCCAGGAGTTCAAGACCAGCCTGAGCTACATAGTGAGACCCCACCACCACAAAAAATAGAAAAATTAGCCAGATGCGATACGTGCCTGTAGTCCCAGCTACTTGAGAGGCTGAGGCAGGAGGATTGTTTGAGCCCAAGAGTTTGAAGTTGCAGTGAGCTATGATGACGCCACTGTCTTCGAGCCCTGGTGACAGAGAAAGACCCTGTCTCAAAAAAATGCAATTTGATTTTAGATTTAAAAGTTGTATTTGAACAACTTTTCTGTGCTGATTTTAAAGGGTTGCTGGGTTACTTGGACATGGGGGACCTTGCCCCAGGAACGTTTGGCCACTCTCTTAAAGAGTCGTGACTATGCTTAGTTATCCCCATAAAAAGGAGTCCTTTGGTCCTTTCCTCAGGATCCCAGGGGCAGACAAACCAGCAAAACTTTGTTTCAGTGATTGCTGTAACTTGGAGGAATCTGTGCTCCTTAAGTACCCTCTAAGTTTCCAGGACCCCCTCCCAAGTCATTATCTTGCTAAATTGGAGAGAACTGTAAACGCTTTCTCCTTCCCTTAGCTGGATATTCTCAATCCTGATGGCCTATTCCAGGGGACAAGGGTTAGTGAGAGACAGTATTCAGGCTTGCTTTGTTCTTACACATATAGTAACACTGTGTTCTCTAGATAAGGGGCTCTCTTGGTTAGAGAAAAAAAAATCCTACCCTTAATTTCCTCTTTAGAACTAGGAAATTTGTTTTTAGACTAACACAGTGGGAAACAAGAGTTAAGGCAAGTGCAGTCAGAGAGACAGAAGAACCCAAGAAGGAGGAAATGCTCACAGAATTAAGTGCCTGGAAATCTAGAAGTGTGAATTACTGCATTTTCCCCACACAGAAATTATCAGAGATTTTGGAGATTTCTGTTTCAGAAAGAGTAGTTCAGAATAAAGGTTGCAGGAGGAAATGAAGGAGTTGGTAGTAGAAAGTGGAAGCTCTCTTTGTATATTCTGTGGTATGATCAGGTTAGTTTCTCACTTGCTATGAGTACAGCTTCATTACCACCTGCTTCCACCTGCAGTCTGTGCTAATGTCTTTTCATCTACTCCTGAACTGCTTAGAGTCTACCCATATTTTAAGTCCTAGCTACAGTTCACTTCCTCCATCAGGTCTTCACGGAAGATTATAGTTTCCATTTCTTTCTCCATTCCCCGGTATCTTTTTTTTTTTTGAGACAGAGTCTCACTGTGTTGCCCGGGCTAGAGTGCCATGGTGTCGGCCTAGCTCACAGCAACCTCAAACTCCTGGGCTCAAGCGATCCTCCTGCCTCAGCCTCCCGAGTAGCTGGGACTACAGGCATGTGCCACCATGCCCGGCTAATTTTTTTCTATATATTTTTAGTTGTCCAATTAATTTCTTTCTAATTTTAGTAGAGACGGGGTCTCGCTCTTGCTCAGGCTGGTCTCGAACTCCTGAGCTCAAATAATCCGCCCGCCTCAGCGTCCCAGAGAGCTAGGATTACAGGCGTGAGCCACCGCGCCGGGCCCCCGATATCTTAATGAGTTCAGTTACAATCACACCATTTAGCATGTAATTGTTATATCAAAAGTGTGAGCCTGCTCCCTTCCAAGTAGGTATTGTAATTCTTAAGTTTGGAGATAATATTTTAAACTTATTTTGAATACTCCTTGGAAAAACTCTGGGTTCATACTTATTAAATATACCCTCACATCAAAAGTTTTGTTAAATATTCAAGAACAACCACTTAAAAATACTGTATTAAAGTTTATGAAAGTTTTTATTTCAGCATGCTTTAAGTACTTTTACTTAACTAAAATTTCAAATACAAGGTATCCATTTTGACTGTCTCAACAAGGTCGCTCTAGTCTTTCCTATAGCGGAGTTAAAAACTCAACTTATTCATGATTGTCAAAAGAAAGGGCAGCCCTCACAGAGACTTGCAGCAATGAGCTCTCAAATTCGGTCTGCATTAAGTAGCGTCCTTATCCTAACGGTAGAAGTGTCAAATTTCGCAAACTCCTGGACAAGGGAGTGAAACAATCTAACAACGGTCTTTGCTCAGCTGTCAAAGTATGGGAGTGAACCAGCCCCCAGCTCACCGCCACTCAGATTCTTACTCCGGTTTCCCATGTTTAGGCTAGGCAGCCCATTGGGCCGTCTGGGCGCCGTGCATCCTGGGAGTTATAGTTTCCGGCTCCGTCTTCCAGACTACAAGCTCCACAGAGCCGCGGGAGGACGGTTGCCCGGTATTAGCGAGCGGCAAGTATGGCGGTGGCGCGCGTGGACGCGGCTTTGCCTCCCGGAGAAGGTAAGGCGATCCCCACCCCTGAGTCCCAAGGTTTACTCCACGAAGCTGAATTAAAAAATAGTTGCCTGGAGAAAAGGAGAAGCTCGGGTTAAAGATGCAGTTCTGGACCAGGTCTTTGAGGCGGAGCCGTGGACATCGCGGAGGCGCACTGCCTTCTGGGAGTTGTAGTTCTTCTGCGTCGCTCAGCTTTTCAGCGTCGCGGTGAGAACCTAGCGGGGGACTACAGCCCCCATAGGCCTTCGCGCGGCCCGGAGCCCGGGATCCCGCGCCCCCCGCGGTTGGCTAGGTGGTGGGTTTCGGGCCATTGTGACCTTCTTGGTCATTTACTTTGAGTTTCAGGTGCCCACGCGAAATTTCCAAGATCTCTCTCTTTCACTTCACGAATCCCACTTCCCGCTTGGTTCCTAGAACGTTCAGGAAACCTTCTCTCTGATGCCACTCGCTAGACTGGCTTTGACTCGTTGGAGGTGGCTGGTGGCTGTGATAAAATCTAGCGGGGTGATCCAGAGCCCACAGTTCTCTACTCATGCAGACAGGTCCTGGGATCGGGTTTGGTCGCTGTCCAGCAGAGCGCGGGATATGGGTGCTTCTGTGGTCGGTAGATACCTCTTTGGGGTGCTCGATGTAATCTTTTGTTTTGGTTACGTCTCCAAGTCTTGGCAGCAGCCCTCTGAATCAGGGGTGGTTGGGGCCCGTTTCCACGGCTTAGACCTGGGGCTTATTTTCTGGGAGTCGTAAATTTGGGGGAGGAATTGGTGGATGATTCTAAGGTCTGTCGACCCTTTGGAATTCTGTACAATTTTCTGAGACCACAGAGTTTTCATCACATTCTCAGAGAGGCCCATAACCCCTCACATGCTAATAGCTGTTAGACAATGGGAAAATGTTGAAACCCTCTAGGAGAGCAATCTGTATAATTATTTCCCGCAGTACTTCTATTCTGCGTGAAAATTTGAAATTGGCAGTTTCTCTGGCCCCGCCCCATTTGATATCAGCATTTCTTAAGCTCCACATCTGTAGCCCACCAAAGCTACTTATGTGACTATAACAGCAGTTAACATTTATAGAGCACTTTTTTTGAGCCAGACGATATTCTGAATGCTTTTCTTACATTCTCATTTTCTCTGTAGACCAACATTTATAAAGCAGATTAGAAAAATGAGCCCATTTTGCAGAGTAGAAAAATGAGCCCAAAAGAGATCAGTGACTTACTTGCCCAAGATACAGCAGTGGTTAACTGGTGGAGCCAGGTTTGAAAGTCTGTTACACTAAACTGCTTTATTGAGTGTCGTGTGCCAGGAACGGGGCTAAGTGTTGTTCATATGGTTTCTCTTTTAATCATCACATCAACCTAGTGAAACAGGTGTGTTATTCTATTTTATAGACTAATTAACTGAACTGTACTTTGATTTTCAAAATAGCTGGGGCACTTTAGGATATACTGATAGTTAGGTTGTAAGCAGGTTGATCTCTAGCAAAAGTTTAGTTCCATTTAAAAAATGGTTCTCTGTACTTAGGTATAAAATATGGTAGTAATAGTTTATATTTAAATGTGGAGAACTCAAAGTATTATAGAAACTTGAATAGAATATCATAAGTCTAGTTCCAGTTTGATACTTTTGAGGAAAAGTATCAAATAATAATAATTCAATCTAATCATCTAGAACTCAAGATTGCTTTAGGTTTAAAATCTTGCTATTCATTACGCTCTACTATTTTCTAACTTGAAATGTATAGAGATTTTATGAGTATAATTTCATCCCCATTCTCAGCTGTTTTGTTTGTGTTTTCTAACAAATTTCCTTCTCTTTTCAAGGATCAGTGGTCAATTGGTCAGGGCAAGGACTGCAGAAATTAGGTCCAAATTTACCTTGTGAAGCTGATATTCACACTTTGATTCTGGATAAAAATCAGATTATTAAATTGGAAAATCTGGAGAAATGCAAACAATTAATACAGGTAGGTATTAATTGCTGTCTGGGAAATGGTTACATAGGACCAGTTTATTATTAAACAAAATAAAACAATAAAATTACCTGACAAAAAGTAATTTCGTAGGCGTTGTAGGCCTTTGAGGTGGAAAGCAGTAAATGTTGCCTTAGATTTTTACATGATAGTTTATTCTGAGGATGAACATATCTGTGCTACATTTAAAGTGGGTTGGAAAAGGAAGCATTGTTAAATAAAAAAAGAAAGCATTTTGTGTTGGCAAGGTATTATGTTGCTAAGATAACCTTTTACGTCATGATGGATGTAAAGAGTTCATTCATTCAGGAAATGTTTATTGACTCCCTCTTATATGTGTGGCACTGTTTAGGTTTTGACTGAAAGAGCGTAAGGAGCGTAAGTGTGGAGCTTACATTCTCAAGTTGTTGCTGTGTTAAAAACATGTGTAATAGTTGTTGGAGGAAGTCTGATGGTTCAGTTTTGTATTTCCTATTGCTTAGGAACAACAAAAAGCAGATAGTCATACTGTAGAATATTTAGACAACATACGTGAAAACTACAAAAAGGGCTTGTATGTTTGGAAATGTTTGGCTGTCTAAACAAACCTTTTTAACCACTGTAAGTGAAAGTAACATATATGTTATATATTTTGTTCCTAAAAATAATGCTATGTTTCCTTTTCACAGTTATCAGTGGCTAATAATCGGCTGGTGAGGATGATGGGTGTGGCAAAACTGACCCAACTCCGTGTACTAAATTTGCCTCATAACAGCATTGGCTATGTGGAAGGACTAAAGGAACTAGTACATTTGGAATGGCTGAATTTGGCAGGAAATAATCTTAAGGTGAATGGTGGTTTGTTTGGCTTTTTTTAGTGAGTAAGTTTTTTTTTTTTAAATTATAAAACTGTTCTGTGTAAAAAAGAAATTCAAGCAGTATAGAAATAAGTAGAAATAAAAAGTGAGAGGACCCACTCCCTAGGGATAATCTCTATTAACATAAACTAAAAAATATCTCATTTTCAAACACATAATGCAGTATAATACACTTAAATATGAACAAAGAATCTATATTATACTTCGAAAAAAGTAGATTGAACTGTAGAATAGTTAGGGAGACTATATCATGATGAGTTAAGCCCTAAGAAATGTTTAATGATATAATGGAGAATATACTGTTTTAAAAGTCAGGATATTGTGATTCTAGTGCTACTTCCACTACTTTGTAACTAGATAATTTTGGGTAAGTTAATAAGTAGCTTTGTGTCTTCTTCTTCTTATTATTTTGGTATGCTAGGTGAAGGGACTAGATTAAATGATAGTAATAACTGCCTTTTATTGAGCAATTAATTTGTGCTAGGTCCTGTTCTAAGCATTTATCTGTATTAACTCATTCAATCTCATGACATCTTATAAGATAATGCTATAACATAGGTATAGATATTATGCCCATTATATAGGTGAGGAAGCACAGAGAAGTTAAGTAACTGCCCAAGGTCACACAGCCAGGAAGTTGCAGCACCAGGATTTAAATTCAGGCTGTGTGGCTTCACTCTAAGCTTGTAAACTCTGTTCTATACATATGATATACTGTCATATGTCATCTCTAAGGTTCTTCAAGCTGTAAATATCTGGAATGGTATGAACCACTTGGCAGCCCTCTACTCATAGAGGGATAATGAGGATGGAAACTTGCAACTAAATTCTGTTAGTACTGCTCTCCTTTCTCTTGTTAAGCTCTGCTGCTCTGCGTTCAGTAATGAGAGGTGGCAAGAGACTCTTAGCTGCAGGGAACTAGGGAAGAATTTCATTTTTTGATTTTGTTTGCATTAAATAATATACTTTTCTTGTGATAGGCCATGGAACAAATCAATAGCTGCACAGCTCTACAGCACCTTGATTTATCAGACAATAACATACCCCAGATAGGTGATCTGTCAAAATTGGTATCCCTGAAGGTAAGCTTGTTTTCTATGTCATTTGTGAAACTTTATAACAAAATACCAAGAGAAAGTGATCTGATTGTCCTAAAATCAGCCTGCCATATATGAACAGATTGTTTTCATTGTGATAAGAATTCCGTTAGAATACCAGAAATTAAGTGGAACTTTTTGTTGTTAGTTTCTATAACTGATTTATTTTATGTGAAACTGGTCATTGTAGTTAAGGTTAATTCTTATTTACCATTCTCTGAACGTGATGAAATTCCTTTCATACCCAACCAGGCAATGCTAGTAGCTTTAATTACATAGTACATAACGTATTGGTAAGGTTGAGAGTAATCATTTTTGAACTTGAGTCTGTTTTTTTTTTGACACTCAGTATTGATTTTTTTTTAGTAAAGATATTACTTAATTATCAAAATTATTTCATGTTAAAATCATGTAACATATAGCACTTTTTATGGTGAGGGATGTATCATGCAATCAAATAAGTAACAGTTGGAATCACAGCTTTGAAAAACATATGTAGGGCTTTTTCTATATTTTTGCTTCATTGGATATTATTAGCATCATATGGATTCATTAAACCTTAGAAGCAGTATCTTAGCTCAGTTTTTCATAGGTTGTTAGCAGAAATCATTTTTAGCAACAATTAGTCTAAACAATTTGATGTAGCCAAATGCTGTCCTGATATAGATGCTAAGGGAATTCATATGAACTAAAGATGATTGAATATTTTGTTTTATTGTTTTCTGGAATGGAGGCATGATTATCTGATCAGAATCCTGTGATTAGAGTCTTGGGTTTGTTCTTGATTATTGCTGACTTAACGTGAGTCAGCTTCATCTGTAAATAGCACATTCTACCTTCCTTTAGCTTTTAGCTACCAAGAGAGTACAGTTGCAAATTATGGGTTGTGGGTTATCTCTCTGTCTCTCTCTTTTTTGGAAAATGTGCTTTATAATTGTTTTAATCACTTCCCCCCCACTCTTCTCACCTTCTATTTTGATGTTTTAAAAGGAAATGAGCAAATGTGTTAGAAATTGCTCAGTGTCTGATAACTTAAATCTCACTGCATGCCTAGTTACTATGCCAAGCATATGTTCTTGGACAAGTCTTTTTTTTTTTTGAGACAGGGTCTTACTCTGTCATCTGGGCTGGAGTACAGCAGCATCATCATAGCTTACTGCAACCTCAAACTCCTGGGCTCAAGCAATCCTCTTGCCTCAGCCTCTCAAGTAGCTGGGACTACAGGTGCATGTCACCATGCCTGGCTGATTTTTCTATTTTTTTGTAGAGATGGGGTCTTGCTATGTTGCTCAGGCTGGTCTTGAACTTCTGACCTCAAGCAGTCCTCCCATTTTGGCCTCCTAAAGTGCTAGGATTATAGAGGTGAGCTACTGTGCCTGGCCCAAATCTTTAAACTTTCTTGAGCTTAGGATGTTGCCATAAAAAGAAAGAGTTAGACCAGAAGATCACCTAGGACCCTTCTAGCATTAACAATCTTTCATTTGTGTATGACAAGAAGTATAAAAAAAATAGATCTCTATTTTTACACACCATTTTGGATGTTGTCACAATAGATCAACTTAATTATAATCTTTTCATTTGTAATTCATATTGTTTTTACTTTCAAGACCCTGCTTTTACATGGAAACATCATCACCTCTCTTAGAATGGCACCTGCTTATCTACCCAGAAGTCTTGCTATACTTTCTTTGGCAGAAAATGAAATCCGAGACTTAAATGAGGTAAAATTTGAGGGTATTCTGCGGGATCCAGGAAGCTGGAAAGTCTAGGAGACACAGGAGAGTGTTGTGAGCTTACTTTTAGACTGTGAGCATCTTGGGAGAAATTACCATTCTGATGAGACACTTGGCTCTAGATGATCATTAGTTTTCTTTCTACTTTTCCTTAATGTCAGTAGGTCATTAAGACTTATTTTCATTTGTGATGCTACAATTGTTATTCCATTGGGAGGTGATTGGCGGTAGGGGGACATCTACATTACAGTGGTTAATAAGGTACCCTATCCACCTTGGTGCTATTATGTTTTCAAAATAGACTTCTCTCTGCTAGGAAACAGTGTTATACTTTCTAAGGGATTTTGTGTAGCAGGGACAGATGGCTATATTGTTGGAATTTTGGAAGTCAGTGGATAATAGAAGATACTTGTCACTTGTCAGAACAAGAGGGAAATTGTTGCATTCTCAAATGCTGCCAAAGATGTGTAATCAGCAGAAGCCCTGTGCTTGACACCGAATAGTCCATTTTGTTCAACAAAGATATCTTTTGTTCCAGATCTCTTTTTTGGCATCCTTAACTGAATTGGAACAGTTGTCGATCATGAACAATCCTTGTGTGATGGCAACACCTTCCATTCCTGGGTTTGACTATCGGCCGTACATTGTCAGCTGGTGCTTAAATCTCAGAGTCCTAGATGGATACGTGATTTCTCAAAAGGAAAGGTGAACATGACCTCTTTAACATCACATTAATCATAGAAGTTACTGAAAAGACCATTTCTAGTTTACTACAGATTAATAAATTGAACGTTTCTTAAAGTGTGTATTTTAGAAATTAAGAGCATTAGTTTAAAGTAGACTGTGTGCTTAATCATATATGTAAGGCAGTATTAGTAATATCTTAGAATTATCCAATTATTCTTTATAAAAATAATTATGGGAAAATGCACACAGAGAACTGGTAGCATACATGGTGATTGGTCCTCTCTTTTCATACTTGTGAAGCAGCAGAAGTGAGAACTCCCACATCTCTAGATTATTGGTAGTTTCTGCAGCTTAGAGCTGAGACCCCTGTACAATGGGGTCTTCTGAACACTGGCACAGGATCAGTGGCAGCAGAGCTTTAGCAGAGGGAAGGAACTAGGATGTGGATAAGAGGGGATGGAGTTAGAGGGGATAGTGATAGTCGAGATGATTTTATTCTCTTTACTATACCTCATTTCACTTTCTCCTTGGTATATACACATATGCATTCATGGACTGAACACACATTCTCTCTCACCTTTTTTGTCCTTTTCTACTAGAGACTGGTAATAATTACTTGAGGAGTTTCTTGATGGGTAGATGAGTGGTAAATTACAGACAGTGTCTCCCTTTTCTGCCTCTGTGCTGTTTTGTGTAGTTCTTGGGTAGAGCAAGGAGCAGTGAGGAGTGGCAACCAGGAGCTAGGTGGTCGTGGTACTGGTGTGGGGTGAAGGACATATGTCAGGTCTAGTTTGCCTACAAAAATGTGGCTTTTCCTTTTCCCTGCAGTAAAAATGGCGCTGAGAAGAAACCTTATTTTGTTTTAAACCATGACTAGTTCTAAAGCTGCATATGAGTTTACTTGGATAATCTTCTCTTTGGTTGTTGGATTTTTCTTTCTTTTTTTTGAGACAAGGTCTTGCTATGTCTCCCAAGCTGGAATGTAGTGGCCCAAACATATCTCACTGCAGCCTCAAACTCCTCAGCTCGAGCTATCCTCCTGCCTCAGCCTCCTGAGTAGGTGGGACTATAGGCATGCATCACCTTGCCCAGCTAATTTTTAAATTTTCTGTAGAGATGGAAGTCTCGCTGTGTTGCCCAGGATGATCTTGAACTCCTGGCCTCAAGCAATCCTCCTGCCTAGGCCTCTAAAAATGCTAGGATTATAGGCATGAGCTACCACGCCTGCCTGGTTGTTGGATTTTTCTATGGGAGTTGGACTGGTGACATTTTCATGTCTGAGAGGTAGGCAGAGATAAAGGTTTGATGTAAAGAGAGACCTGGAAAGAGAGATGAGACCTGGTTAGTAGAGACAAGGGAAGGTGTCACATCTTTCCTTGCCACCTATTAGCTGTGTGGCTGTGGCAAGCTCCTTAGCACCTTTTGGAGCCTAAGTTTCCTCATCTGTAAAAAGTGAATTACAGTACTACCTAGCTTTCAAAATGTTAGGATTAAGGATAATGTATGTAGTATGATACTGGTCATATTGTAGGTGCTTAGTAAATGATAATTATTATATAAGGGTAGAGACTAGGGGTTGAAAAAGTTTGTTGAAACTAAAGAGTGTTAAAGAAGGCAGAAAATATTTGTTGAATGGGTGAATAATGTGAAGTCTATGTTTCTGTACTGTGGAAATGGTTTTAATACAAGTGACTTTAAGGTGAATTTGAATTTTCTTTGAGCTTTCTCTATAATGTTTTTTTTTTTTTGAGACAGAGTCTCACTCTGTTGCCCTGGCTAGAATGAGTGCCGTGGCGTCATCCTAGTTCACAGCAACCTCAAACTCCTGGGCTCAAGCGATCCTCCTGCCTCAGCCTCCCGAGTAGCTGGGACTACAGGCATGCGCTACCATGCCCGGCTAATTTTTTTCTATGTATTTTTAGTTGTCCAATTAATTTCTTTTTATTTTTAGTAGAGATCGGGGTCTCACTCTTGCTTAGGCTGGTCTCGAACTCCTGACCTCAAGCGATCCTCCCGCCTTGGCCTCCCAGAGTGCTAGGATTACAAGCATGAGCCACCACTCCCGGCCTATTTATTTTCTTATTAGTTCGGAGACTATGAAGTAACTATTTGGTTACCCATTGGTATAGTTTGTATAGGAAAGATAGAATTAATAATATTTAATTCTTACCCTTTATTTACCAGTTTTTAAAAGTGAATTGGTGGCTCATTAACATCCTTCAACGGTGACCAGTTAGTTAGATTTTTTTTTTTAAATTGTCATTATGAACTGATGGATTTGTTTATTATTTTTGTTGTTGTTGTTGAGACAGAGTCTCGCTTTGTTGCCCAGGCTAGAGTGAGTGCCGTGGCGTCAGCCTAGCTCACAGCAACCTCAAACTCCTGGGCTCAAGCGATCCTTCTGCCTCAGCCTCCCGAGTAGCTGGGACTACAGGCATGTGCCACCATGCCCGGCTAATTTTTTCTATCTATATATATTTTTAGTTGTCCAGATCATTTCTATTATTTAGTAGAGACGGGATCTCGCTCAAGCGATCCTTCTGCCTCAGCCTCCTGAGTAGCTGGGACTACAGGCATGTGCCACCATGCCCGGCTAATTTTTTCTATCTATATATATTTTTAGTTGTCCAGATCATTTCTATTATTTAGTAGAGACGGGATCTCGCTCTTGCTCAGGCTGGTCCCGAACTCCTGACCTTGAGCAATCCGCCCGCCTCGGCCTCCCAGGGTGCTAGGATTACACGCGTGAGCCACGGCGCCCGGCCTGAACTGATGGATTTAAATGCAAGTGATATATTTAGATACTTCAGTTTGACAGAGTGAGTGGAGAGAATACTTATTCTTTGAAAATAATTTGAAATTATTAGGTACCATTAGTGTAGCTCCATGGAAGTGCCCCTAAGCAAGAAAAAGGGTTAAAACATTATTAGAGTGAGGGAAATGAGTAAGAAGGGTAGGTTTTTTTTTTTTTTTACAAACTTGAGTGAATTTTATTTATGAGAAACATCCAATGGTGCTATAAAGGTAAATTAAGAAGAAAGACCATTGTTGTGTGACAATATATCTTGACTACACTGGTGCCATCTCCTTTTCTTTATTTCCCTCAATTCCAGTTTGAAAGCTGAATGGCTGTATAGTCAAGGCAAGGGGAGAGCATATCGACCTGGCCAGCACATCCAGCTTGTCCAGTATCTGGCTACAGTCTGTCCTCTCACTTCTACACTGGGTCTTCAAACTGCAGAGGATGCTAAACTAGAGAAAATTCTGAGCAAACAGAGGTAAGCCTGTTTATTTGTAATAGCTGATGAATTCACAAGTGAAAATACCTTTGAAAGTGTTTCCTACAATGATATAATAGTTAGCCTGAGGGAAGTGCTGGGGTCCACATTTCTTGGCACTTAGGGCCCTTGTCACTGCAGCATTTCCTGCTGAACCACACAGTGCAGTCCAGCTTGTTCCACTTCAACTGTATTGTTAATCATTTCTTGAACAGAGAGAGCCCAGTAGTATGGCATGGGAGAATGGGATTTTAAAAAAATGTGTGTGGTCTTTAACTTAGGTATTTCATATGGGTTTTTATGTATTAACATTAAGGAAGCATTTAGTAGTTACTTCTTTCATCAGAGATCCTGCCTTTAAATCTTTGTGCATGTATTAATATGTATGTGTGTATATGTGAGTGTATGTCTATGCAATTTTTTTTTTTTTTTTTTGAGACAAGGTCTCATTCTGTTGCCCAGGCTAGAGTTAAGAAGTTATTTGATCACTGATCGCTTTTCTCTAAGTCATTTGATTTGTTGGGTATCAATGTAGCTCACTGCAACCTAACACTCCTGGGCTCAAGCAGTCCTCCTGCCTGGGCCTCCCCAGCAGCTGGGACTACAGGCGTGTGCCATGACGCCTGGCTAATTTTTGTTTTTTGTACAGAAGGTGGGTCTCTCTATGTTGCTCAGGCTCGACTCTAACTCCTGGTCTCAAGTAATCCTCCTGCCTCAGCCTCCCAAAAGTGCTGGGATTACATGCGTGAGCCACTGTGCCTGGCACATATGCAATTTAAAAATAAGTTTCTTAACTTTGTCTATGCAATGCTTTCACATGAGACTTTATAATTTACCAATGATTAAAGTTACTTACTTTGAAAACTTGTAAACTACCTTTTTGACATTGTTACTTAGGAAGCAGAAAAGCTTTTTGTTTTTGGTTTGTGTTAAGTCACATCAGATGTTACTGATTTTTAGGTTTCATCAGAGACAGTTAATGAACCAAAGCCAAAAAGAAGAGTTGTCTCCTCTGGCTCCTACTGAAACAAGGGCACCCCTTATACCTGAACATTCAAGCCCTATTCAAGATTGCCAGATAGTTCAAGAAAGCGGTAAGAAGTTAATTGATCATTGATCGCTTTTCTCTAAGTCATTTGATTTTTTGAGTAGCATAAAACAGAAAAAAATACGTATTTTTTAATTTTGTATAGCTTTTATTAACCTTAGTGGTCATTTAGATCTTATAGTTTATATATATGTATGTACACATACATATGTGTATGTATGTATATTATAACTATTATATTTCTAATTTTTAAAAACATTTCAAGGGCTGCTGTCTTTTATATAGACCTGATGCTTTGATTATTCCTATGATTATTACAAGAATTCATTTTTTTAAAAATGTTTGGTTTGATGTGTTAGGCGTATTGGAGGAAGTCACTGAAGGCATTTTATTGCCTTTTACTATATTTCAGGGATTAGATTTCATTAAAAGGATGCAATTAAAAAAACTCTTTAAATATTTAGTGGTTTAAATGACACTCTGTTGATTCTTCTAGAACCCGTCATCCAAGTCAATTCTTGGGTTGGGATAAGCAGTAATGATGATCAATTATATGCTGTTAAGAATAATTTTCCAGCCTCTGTTCACACTGCAAGATATTCTCGAAATGACCTGCACCTGGAAGACATACAGACAGATGAGGACAAGTTGAATTGTAGTCTTCTTTCTTCAGAGTCTACTTTTATGCCAGTTGCATCAGGACTATCTCCAGTATCACCTACAGTTGAGCTGAGGCTGCAGGGCATTAACTTGGGCCTAGAAGATGATGGTATTGCAGATGAATCTGTGAAAGGGCTGGAAAACCAGGTCTTGGATAAGGAAGAGGAAAAGGCTTTATGGGCTGCAAATGAGAATTCTGTTCAAATGATGAAAAATGAGATCATTACGGAGGTAAATGAGAAAGCTGGGCTATTACCTTGTCCTGAGCCAACAATAATCAGCACTATCTTGAAGGATGATAACCACAGTCTTACATCTTTTCCTGAGACAACTGGACATGATGTCTCCCATACACAGCCAGATGATCAAGAAACCATGTCTCAAACAGCTTCAGAGAAACTTCCCTGCAGGATTTTAACCCCCAGATCTGTTGCTTTGGGACATGATAAAGTTGCCCTTCAGAAATTGAACGAAGCAGCCACCAAGCTTCAGGCCTGTTGGCGGGGCTTTTATGCCAGGAACTACAACCCTCAAGCCAAAGATGTGCGTTACGAAATCCGGCTACGCAGAATGCAGGAGCACATTGTCTGCTTAACTGATGAAATAAGGAGGTGGGTCAAAAGTCCTGTTGAGGTGCTATTTTGTTGACTTGGGAGTGTCAGATTCTTACAGTTGATTCAGGATACTGTGCTTCTGTGATCATAACATTTTTTATATCATGTAGCCACTGTTGGTTTACTTGTCTCCTACAATATACAGAAAACATCTGGAGAGCAGAGACTGTTATATCCATCTCCACCCCCAGCAAAGCAATTGGTACATAGATGCAGTGTAGCAATAAATGTTGAATGAATGTGAGCTTTATAGGCATGTATAATTCTAAAGATAGAAAGGTACAGAAAATGTAGAAAAACAAAACGAGTATAAAAATGAGAAGAAGAGAAAGTCTACATAGAACTCAGTAAGTGACATAAAAACTAAAGAAAATAGCAGGAATTCAAAAGGGGCTAAAATTCTAGGGCTACAGTAGGAATTATTCCTTAATTCCATGGCTCACATGTTTTACTGAGTGCCCACTCAGGAAAATTAGGATTTTATTAGTATTGCAACTAGTGATATTTATTAATATTGGAGGAGGCAGCAAAAGAGACTGAGAACGGACAGCCAGAGTGGTAGAAAAACTAGGAGAGTTCCAACTCCAATGGGGAAAGTGTTTCAGGAGATAGATAGGAGAGGTGCCGCAGGGAGAACAGAGAGAACAGAGAACTTATACATTAGATTTAGCAGCTGGAGGTTATTGGTGACTGTGCTGGGAATCCCCAAGACTATCCACAGTTTCAATGATGAACTGAAAGGACTCAGAACTCAGGGAAATTGTTCTGTTAATGGTTATAGTTTATTACAGCAAAAGATACACATTAAAATCGGCAAACAGAAAACGTGAATAGGGCAAAGTCCAGGAGAGACCAGGTGCGAGCTTCCAGTTGTACTCTTCCAGTGGAGTCATACAGACAAGGGCCTAATTCTCATAGCAGTGATGTGTGACAACACATACAAAGTATTGCCAACTGGAGAAGCTCACTTGAGCCTTGGTGTCTAGAGTTTTGATTGGGGTTCAGTCGCATAGGCATTGAGTGCCCATGTGACTGACTGTCTGGTGTGGACCAAGACCCCAGGTGTACAAAGAAACTCTTTTCAGGTAGACTATTCCAAGGGCTTGGAGGTTGTCTCTCAGGAGCCAGTTAGGGCCTGCCGATCTCCCTGAGGGCAGCTTCAGTGGTGTGAGGGATGAAGGCCAGCTTGGAATGGGTCAAATAGTGAATGGGAGGTAAAGAGTTTAAAAGCTGAGTATAGCCAACTCTTGGGAAATGTTTTGAGGAGATGAGAGTAGGTGGCTCCTGGAGGAGAATCTGGAGTTAGGGAAGATTCTCTTTTAAAGATGGTAAATATAAAGTGTGTTTATGTGTTGATGGGAATGATTCAATAAGGAGAGAAAAAGAGATGGTACAGAGAAAAGAAGGGAGAAGTGCAGGACTGAAGTTCTTGAGAAGGTGAGAGAAGAGACCGGGCATAAGTAGAGGAAGTGGCCTGAGGTAGGAGCAGGAGCAGGTAAGGTGATATGTTTGGTGGGTGGGAGGAGGGGAAGTCCTGTCTGGTGCTTTTCCCTTTTCAATAATGTATAAGATGTCAACACCGGAAAATGAAGAGAGAGGTAAAGGAGGTGTAAGGAGAGAAGTATAAGGTATGAGGTAGTCATCTTAAAAATGAACTTAAGAGGAGAATGGAAGAGGTTTGCTGGATAATGTTAGGAAAAACTTAAAAGCGCAAAACAATAGATTAGGTTGTATGATTTTTTTTTTTCTATTTTTTGAGACAGTATCTCACTCTGTCACTCAGGCTAGAGTACAGTGGAGTCATTATAGCTTGCTGCAACCTCAAACTCTTGGGCTCAAGTGATTCTCCTGCCTCAGCCTCCTGAGTAGCTGGGACTATAAGTGCATGCCACCACACCCCGCTAATTTTTTCTATTTTTAGTAGAGATGGGGTCTCGCTCTTGCTCAGGCTAGATTGTGTGATTTTCATCAGCAATTCTCAGCTGTTTGCTCTGAATCAGCATGATTAACTTGCTTCTGGCAGGAATGATTTTTTTCCTAGGTGAATAAGGCAGAAAGTGAGGGGAGAGCAAGGGAGCAAAGATATTTTAGAGGAGATAAGAATGATGGATCTTGGCCAGGCGTGGTGCCTCACGCCTGTAATCCTAGCACTCTGGGAGGCTGAGGCGGGAGGATTGTTTGAGCTCAGGAGTTCGAGACCAGCCTGAACAAGAGCAAGATCCCGTCTCTACTAAAAATAGAAAGAAATTAGCTGGACCACTACAAATACATAGAAAAAATTACTCAGGCATGGTGGTGCATGCCTGTAGTCCCAGCTACTCAGGAAACTGAGGCAGAAGGATTGTTTGAGCCCAGGAGTTTGAGGTTGCTGTGAGCGAGGCTGATGCCACAGCACTCTAGCCTGGGCAACAGAGTGAGCCTCTGTCTCAAAAAAAAAGAAATGGATCTTAGGATTTAATTAAGGTAAAAGGGAAGTGAAGGCAGCAGGGAAAGGTCATTGGGTTGGAAGTCTAGATCTTTGCAGTGGGGTGCAGCAACAAGTGAACTGGGAGGGATAGGAAGCTAGTGGTTGGTATTAGGGTGCTTGGAATCATTTTTGAAAGTGGTGAAGTCAAAATGTTTTGGTCCAGGGTAAGATTATGAGAATGGGGGACTGACACGGGGTGGATTATTGTTAGATAGAACATCCATGTGAAATGTTGAGGTCTTCAAAAATGACAGGAATGGGGCAGAGAGAAAGACTGGTGCTGAGACTTCAGTGACTGGGGATGGATAGTGGGAGGTCAGTACTTGACAATGAGTTTTGAGAAATTTAACAGGATGGCAGGAGCTAAAGGAGGAAGGTAAAAGAATCATTTGAAAACAGCAGTGAGAAGTAGTCTTCTAACCCTCTTGTATGAGAGAAGAAAGCAGCTTCCACCTGAAAGAGCTATAGTGCTCTGAGAAGTTGGGTCCACTTTGGCCAAGGAAAAGTTCAGAGAGAGGTTGAGTATATAAGGGAGTTTGCTGATTACAATTCAGTCCTAGATGGCACAGAAGGGCTTGGAGGAGGCCAGAGAAAGTGAAGGATTGGATCAGAAGTTTGGAACAAAATAGTTGTGACATTTGGGTGATAATGGATAACTAAAGAAGCCTTAGGTTTGTGATAGGCCTAAATATGGAGCGAGCAGCAATGTACCCAGAGTTAAGACTTTAATGAATGAGGAGGAGTGATGGATGGGAGGTCTGTTAGCGAGGAGTGTGTCAGGGCCTGGGGCAAACAGGGAAGTGAAGTTTGATGGGATTAGTCCTGCTAGTCTCTTGGAGAGGTTGCTTCCAGCTGTGATCATGAGTACTCAACTCCAGTGTGATCCTTAATTATTTTGGAGGCTTTGAATAACCACTTCTTTCTGCATCTACTGTCCCTTTGGTGTGTTTGGATGGAAAATTGAAGCCAGATAAAGAGCCATTTAATATTTTATCTTATTTTTTTTTATCACTGACAATACTTTGTAGAACTAATGTCTGAATTTCAGTCACATCTCATTTGACTTCTACTTTGACTTACATAGTTGAAAATTAAGGTTTCATAGCTTTTGATTTAAAGTGAGAAAGAAAAAAATTAAAAAATTAAGGTTTCTGTTTAGATCTTCTAGAAGTGGAAAGGACTATTATTAAATTATTAATCTCTTTACAATCCATGTGCTTATTAGTTGTAACAGGAAGTACAAGTCAAAGCACCCTTACTTGTGTCAATAATGTATTTTGAATTATAGATTAAGAAAAGAAAGAGATGATGAACGTGTTAAAAAGTTTGTGCAAGAGGAGGCTGTCAGATTCCTTTGGAACCAGGTAAACCCCCTCCTGCTAATTTACCTAATATATGAACAAAGAAAAATTCCAGATTCATTGATATATCAGAGAGTAGTCAGGCATATTAAGCCTTCTTTTTCAAGGTTAAGGGTGTGGTTTATGCTCTTTGCCATTAACTCTGAACTAGGACAGTGAATTTTGTTACATTTTATTTAATCTGAAGAAAAATGTTTTTATAATTTTGACAAGAAAGATAAAGTAATGTAAAACTGAAGGAAGGGGGCTTAATTGAAGAATGTTGTTATAACTTTCCGATAGTTATAAAAAACCCAATTTGAAATTGTATGGAGCTATCTATCTGTTTTTATCTTTTGGGAATATTTGAATGAAAGGTGACTAAGATGGTATATAATGGCTACAATATGCATGTCCTAAAAAGTATATGTGACTACTTGGGAAAGAGAATTTGAATCCCATTATAGCACACTTTTGGGGCAGTTTAAGCAGTTGGTTTTACCAGTATTGTATTGTATCAAATACTTCTTGATAATAATTTATTGGAAATATTTTTATAAAAGAATTTGTTATAATAGGATTTGACCCATAAAATTAAAATACAGTTACTGATTTTTAAGGTATTGTAATTACAAAAAGTAGGGGAATGGTTACATAAATTATAGAATAGTAATACTGTGGAACATTAAAAAAGAGTAAGGTAACAGTACAGACTGATAAGGAAAGATCTCCAAAATAACACTTTTTAGTGAAAAACAGCAAGATGCAGAACTTAGGGTTCCACTTGGTTTTAAAAACTCCCTGTGTGTTTTTTATTTTTAGAGATGGGGGTCTTGCTTTGTTGCCCAGGCTGGAGTGCAGTTGCTATTCACAGTGCAATCATGGCACACTATAGCCTGGAACTCCTGGGCTCAAGCAATCCTCCTCTCTCATCCTCCTGAGTAACAGGGACTAACAGGTGCATGCCACTGTGCCAGGCTTCCCTGTGTATTTGGAAATACTACACAGAAAAAAGTCTGTCATCAAACTGCTGTCAGTGATTATCTTGCAGGGTGGTCAGAGGAAAATTAAAATTCTTTATATTGCTTTCTTGCATGCAGTTTTTACAGTAAAATTTTTTGAAATTTTAATTATACTTTTAAAATGTAAAGGTCATATCAAGAATTTGGTATGTTTTAGGTATTTTAGAAAGTTGCATATACTGTATTGTTAGGTGATACTTAAAAACTTTTATGTATCATCTACATGAATATCTAAACTGAGACTTATTTTAGAGGATCTACTTCTGTCAGTGAGCTCTAATTTGTCTTTGAATATACCTCAGTGTATATTGAGTACATTATAGACCCCATAGCTAGACAAATACTGTTGTACTTCTATTTTTCTAGTAAAAGCAGGGGAATTACTTTGGCCCATCCTCACTCCCCTGGTGAGGGCCTTTTTTGTTTGTTTGTTTTGTTCTGTTTTTTGAGATGAAGTCTAGCTGTGTTGCCCAGACTGGCCTTCTGGTTAGGGCCTTTTGTTACCAAGGACTTGTACCACTTGTGCTAGCCAGGGTTAGGCTCAGGGTGCTCTGGAAAGGGATAAGGGGAATCAGACAGTTTTTAACTCCAGTTCTACCATTTACCAGCTTTATGACTGCTGGAAGAAAAGCTCAAAGGACAATTATAAAACAGATATGATTTTTATTTTATAATAAAACTATATCCTCTGGTTTATAGGTAAGGTCTCTGCAAGCTTGGCAAGAGACAGTGGACCAGCGCCTAAGTTCCTGGCATACTGATGTTCCTCCTTTATCAAGTACTCTGGCACCATCTAAACCTCCATTATTTACTCAAAGTCAGGAGCCCCCTTCTGATAAAAATTCTGATTGGTTTATTGCTCCTGATGAAGCTCCTCAAGAGAAATCATTTCCAGAATTTCCAGATTCTGGTTTTCATTCCTCCTTAACAGAACAAGTTGACTGTTTGCAGGATTCTTTGGATTTTGAAAAAAGTTCCACAGAAGGCAGTGAAAGCTCCATAATGGGGAATTCCATCGACACAGTCAAATACGGCAAAGAGTCAGATTTAGGGGATATTAGTGAAGAACATGGTGAATGGAGTAAGGAAAGCTCAAATAATGAGCAGGATAATAGTCTGCTTGAACAGTATTTAACTTCAGTTCAACAGCTAGAAGAGGCTGATGAGAGGACAAACTTTGATGAAGGATCAGGAGGTGGTAAGCGTCACATAGCTTGTTCCCTGGAAAAGTTAGATACTTTGTCTGTCAGTGCTTCTGCAGATGAGACTCATGGCATATCTCCTACCTTGCAAGATGAAATCAGCCAGACACCAGAGAATTGTAAATTAAGTACAGAAGTTCAAGGACAGCAGCCAGAATGTGATTCCACATTTCAGGTATTGCATGTTGGTGTTACTGTGTAGCATATCTGGTCTCTTGGGAAGCTGAAATTCACTTAACTTTTCTTAAAAATATTTTCAGTTGCCTTTTTTTTGAATAGAAGTACTCCCCCCACCCAATTTTGTTACTATTTATATAGAATTTATATTTTTGTCTCATATTTTCCAGATTCTAGGTATCGAACTGAGTCTTCATTTTGGTTTTGCTAGCTTTTTACTTAGCAGTAATGTACCAAACCATGTATACTGAAAGCTATATGCACTTTATTTCTTAACAACTGAATTGCATCAACAATGTTCCTGTTTCTTTCATGTATTCATTTCCTTTAAAAAATAAACTAGAATATATTAAAGAAAACAGAAAAATTTACCTTAAAGATATAAATAAGAGAATTTTAATTCTTCTGTATCTGAGGAAATTAATTATATAGTAATGAACGCAATTTGTTAAAGAAAATATAAATGATAAATATGAGGACTGTGAATTATTGGAATTTGCTAGTCTCCTTGGAGTAAGAATATTTTTTTTAAGACTTTCCCGCCCCCCTTCAAATCAGAGAAAGCCTTTATATAAGCAAATTTAGCAAAAAAAGATTATAGGATTTCTCAGTGGGGATGATTAAATTGTCTCATGGAAAACTTTAGTTTAATGTCATGTATCAGTTTTAATACATGAAGTAAAATGTTCCATCCAGGATTAAAGTCAAGCTTATTTAGAGAGGCAGTGCAATATTTCACTTAGATAGGAAGAAAAGAGATACAATAGTCACTTGGAATAATATCACAGCATACATTTATTTTTTCAGTAAGTGCTTTGTTACCCTATATATAAACATTTATGTGCCAATATATTGTCAGAAATTAATGTATGTTAATCATCTGTGTTCTGCTTATATTTACTTATGTATTTCAGCAGAAGTTCCATGGTCATTAACTTCACTTGACCTCTGCCCCATAGTGATGAACATTTAAAGTAACACTAGTGGTAGCATATGAATGAATTTTTTTTTTTTTTAAGAACTAGTTTTCTATATAATCTCTGAAAAAGTACCACATTGGAAGACAGTTTAATGGTGGTTAAGAAAAATAAACTTCACTTACTTATTAAAAATAATATATATCTGTAACTGTAGGAAGAAATAAGATTGGGTTTGAATGTTGTAGGTAGATGCATATGTAAATAAAGGATAATTTTGGAAGCTTGGTATTTTAATCTTTGAGAATGTTCTAATATCATTGAACAACACCCTATTTGCTTTTCCCCACCTATGGACATACTACTATTTACAACTATGGCAATACTTAAGTGTTCTCTAAATTTAGGTGCTAAATATCTAATCATGATTCTGTTAGTCATTGGGTCCCCTTCTTTGAAGTTATATAAAATACAAACTTCTGATCCTTAAAGAATAAAGTAGAGGATCACATGGTACATGGTATTTGTTGATAGTCATAAACATTTCTCTAGTATGGTAAAGATGTATTTTTCTTGGTTTATAGATATGTAGCACTCAGGTTGAGAAGACTTGGATTTCATTCTCAGAAATTGAGAATTCCTTGAAAAAGAAATGTTTTCTATCTCTTATAAACAAAACAGCAGTCCTACCTTCAAAAGGATTTTCCCTAGTGAAACATGTGTAACATTAAATGCATGTTAAATAAAAATTGGATTTTTTACTTTTTGAATAGTGGTGATTATCTTTTATTAATGATTTTGAATGTTTTCTTAAATATACCCTATTTTTCTATTGAACAGTTAAGTGCCTCATTTGCTGCCCATAGTTAGACAAAGAAAAACCAATTTGCACTGTACTAGTACCAAAATACTGCTTCCTGGTATGTTAATTTTTCATAAAAGCTGCTGGAATGTCATGGTTCAGTATTACCTATGTAGGTTTCTGCTAACATCCTCTGCCTCCTATCTTTTTTTTTTTTTTTTTGAGACAGAGTCTCACTGTGTTGCCTGGGCTAGAGTGCCGTGGCGTCATCCTAGCTCACAGCAACCTCAAACTCCTGGGCTCAAGCAATCCTTCTGCCTCAGCCTCCCAAGTAGCTGGGACTACAGGCATGCGCCACCATGCCCGGCTAATTTTTTCTATATATTTTTAGTTGTCCGATTAATTTCTTTCTATTTTTAGTAGAGACGGGGTCTCGCTGTTGCTCAGGCTGGTCTCGAACTCCTGAGCTCAAACAGTCCGCCCGCCTCGGCCTCCCAGAGTGCTAGGATTACAGGCGTGAGCCACTGCACCCGGCCAGGCTTAGTATATTTTGATGGGTTTACAATATAATTTAAAAGTAATTTATGTAACTTTTAAATTATTATAGTTTTAACTCGATGGGCTATTCATTGGTCTGGCTGAAGAGGGAATGGGTTTAATAAGGTTGGGGAAGTTGATCTTTGAACATGGTATTTGTTTTTTTCTAACAGGAGAGGTTTAGTTAAGCTATACTATTTTAGTTTACATCAGTTCTCTTGAGTTATGGAAGATTCAGCTTTTCAATTAAGAATTTCTGCAGAAGCATGGAATCATACCATGTGAGAGTGGGAAGAAACCTTAGAGATTTCTATTCTAATCTCTTTGTTTTAAAGATGAAACTAAGGCACAGGGAAATCAAATGACTTGTCCAAGGTTATAGCTAGTTAGTAGTAAATAAACCATGAAAACCTATATGTTACTATATTCCAAAACTTTATTATACCCTCTCAATTAATCTTTAGTGAGTCAGTAAGGAAATCTTTACATATTTTTCATTCTCTTTGAAAGAGGAAAAAACTTCTAAGAGAGCTACAACTCTACCACTCAAGGCAAAGGTGCTTGTAGAAAATAATTCTTTCAGAACCTTGAGTGAATCTTCTCCAAGAAATGTGACTTGATTAAAATGGTTTTTAAAGAGCAATAGTAGACATTAAAATTTTAGAAAAGAATAACTGCATTTTAGAATCCATTTGTTAGATGACAGGCAGTATTACAGGTTGCTGAGATACATAAAATTTTCTAGTGAAATGCTAGAGTTTGGTTATATTTTATCTTCAGTTTTCAGAACAACAGATGTTAAAGTTGTAACTCTCCTAGTGTGCATAAAGCTCTAATCATGACAGTTGATAATGTACAATTTAGTTTGGTTTTATAAGTTTAATTATAAAAGATCCCACAATATGCATGTTTTAGGAAAATGTTCATTTATTTAGCCACTTAATTGTTTGTGTGTGTAGATATATATAAAAAAAACTTTATTCTTGAATAATGTGGGTGCCATTTTTAAGTGTATGTTTTTGTTTTGGATTATTTTAAATATACAAACACCATGATTGTGTATTTTCCTGTTATCTCTCATACTTTAAGACAATTCTAGTTCTACTTTTTATAAATATTTTCAGAAAAACGTAGGCTTAAGATACTGTCTCTCTTGGAACTTTTTTTGTGTAAAGTCTTAGAATTGGATTTATAACATTAATAATATAAAATATAAAACTTTTTTTCCTGGAGAATTAAGACAGAGTAAAAAGAGAAAAAATAGAATGAATCTGATCAGTTTCCCATTCATAAAAAAAGAGAGACTTCATTGTTTATTGTGTATTTCTATTTTGCTACAATACCTTATTAAAAGGTACTTATTGTACTGTTTTAAATTTTACAATTTTACCTCTTTTTTTTTTTTTTTTTTTGAGATGGGATCTCATATGTTGCCCAGGGCATCTTCTAAGAACTCCTGGGCTCAAGCAATCCTCCCACCTCAACCTGTGGAGTAGCTGGGACTACAGGCGTGCACCACTGCTCTGGCTTAAGTTTTAAATATATGGTACCCTCATTCGTGAAGTGAACCAGAGAGGGTCTGTAAGGAATATTGTAAACATTTTAAATGATACTGCTTTCGCTGATCAAGCCTACTGTGCCATATTAAAATTAAAAGTGAAGTAAACAGCAAATCCACACAGCCTTGAAGAGAAATAAATAATTGTCTTTCTTAAATGAGGTACTTTTTTATCTATGAATGAATAGAAATCACACTAAATTTTAATTACTTTATTGATCTTAGAGGATAGCAGGAATCACTTGGTAGTGGTTTTGTTCATTTTCTAATTAAATTTCTTTTAATGTTTTGTAATAATTTTAATGTTAATAAGAGTTTAAAATAATTTAATTTTTGACTATTTTTAGATTTCTCTTTAATGTCGTAGAAATAGATGATTTAATGTGGTTATGGTCTGGTTTATGAAGGCTTCATATTTTATATTGTACTTATTTAATTTGTATTTGAGTCTCTCTAATTTTAAATAAAAGGTTTATACATTTGAGTGCTTCATCTGTTTATTTTAGTGATTAGTAGTAATGGTTGTTATTCATTGTGCTTTTAATTAATGGGTAGATAAAGTTCAGAACAAATTGCAAATAAAACTCTACTAAGGAAGATCCAGAGTATTGTCCATTGTATAAGTGAATTTACAATAAAAGTCCAAGCCTTATGAAAATGGATATGAAATGAAAGGAATTGGGCTGGGCGAGGTGGCTCACACCTGTAATCCTAGCACTCTGGGAGGCTGAGGCGGGAGGATTGCTTGAGCTCAGGAATTCATGACCAGCCTGAGTAAGAGCAAGACCCCTTCTCTACTAAAAATAGAAAAATTAACTGGACGTGGTGGCACTCACCTGTAGCCCCAGCTACTTGAGAGGCTGAGGCAAGAGGATCATTTGAGCCCAGCAGTTTGAGGTTGCAGTGAGCTATGATGATGCCAATGCACTCTACCCAGGGTGACAGAGTGAGACTCTATCTCAAAAAAAGGAATGCTAATTTAGTTTTATTCAGTGTGGATTTCATTACCTCCAGGATACTCACTGGAATTCTCTGGGTAGATAAGAGCAGATATTATCCCTCCAAGAGCACAGATGACATTGTTAGGTGCTGTTGAAGATAGTGGGTGCTGAAAGCATTAGGTGTTGAGTAAATAAGTTGAGTAGAAGCCCTCTCATTTGACACAATTATTAATAGAACCTATAGTTGGTGAATCAAAAAATTAGAGCAGG